AATATATACTGAAATACTGTTACAGTTTCCTTTGCTATACGTACAGCTAGCACGACCGCAGTCAGTTGGAGGCGGGGTATCAAAGCGCATTTTAATGGGGCGACCCGGGCTTTGGCAAAAAATAATTCTGTCTTGCGCTAACCCTTCACATGCAGCCAGCATACGTAGGCTACTGCCCCGTATCCCGTCTTGGACGCGTCGGAGAACAAATGCAGCTCAGCCTTTGTTGCTTGACTGCTTCGGCTGAGTCGGTACGGGATCCGTATCTCATCTAGTCTGGTTAGGTTTTTTAATCATTGCTCCTAATCTGCCCGGTCCGGCTCGTCTAACGGTTGATCTCACTCCGCCCTTTTTCGACAGTTGTGGAAGGCAGATTTTCCCCGGTAACAGCCACGGCGCGACGAATCCAAGCGTGCCATTTAGACTGGAGACCGATGATAACAGCCCTCGTCAGGTGTGGTTTCTCTCGGGAAGCGGAATCTGTCGATCCTTTCTGATCCATCTCTTCTTCGTGGCACATGCTGATCAGGCGGCAGTGCTCACCTTTCACTCCTTTATTTTAGTCCACTGATACAGCTTCATCACTCTATCAAGAGAATATAAAGCTTTTTGGTGAATACTTTCTCAAGTAAGGTCACCGAGTTCTCCTATTATGGTTACCCTACACCTAGCACCTTTCAATCCGCCCTTCCAATATGCAGTGAAACGTTTATACGTGCGCTCCATCGTACCCATAAAGTCGGCTCAACAGGGAGTGGCTGTGTGTTCAATTTTAGAGCGCCACTCGCTCTATCGGTTTTTGGGGAATGGTGTCTGAAACCACACGAGAATTAGATAACCACCTGGTTGGGCAAGACCCTCCCCTTTCCAGTATGTTTTTCAGTTGCTTTACGTGTTGCAAAGCTCCTCTTGCGTCATGGAAGGTGCCAAGGAAGTCATCGACGTAAAAGTTATTCCTAACGCTATCTGACACCAATGCAGTAAGTTGTTTCCATGCTGTGAACCTGTCCGTCGGAGTGCGTAATTAGCGCAGAAAGGCGAGGAGACTGCTCCGAATGGATGAATGGTTAGTGGATAGTCTACTACCGGGCTCTGCACGTCACCTCCAGGCCACCATAATGGTCGAAGGGCTTCGTGGTGATCCTTTGATACCTTAACTTGGAGAAACATTTCTTATATGTCGGCTGCCACTGCCACTGTTTCTGGTCGGAATCGGTTAAGCACGTCGATCAATGGGTTTTTTCAGTCTTGTTCCTGTAGTAGATAATCGTTGAGAGTGAGATCGCCATATTGCGCATCACAATCGAATACTACGCGTAACTTCCCTAGCTTTCTAGGGTTCGTTACTGGATTGTGTGGCAAGTACAATATTCGCTCCCCCCCGGAACTTTCCAGTTACTTTTTTCGTTGCATTGCTTCGATTCACTGCCGACATAGTTGCGCATCCCAAACAAGTCGACTTTTCAAGTATTCCAGTATTTTATCCCTAGCCCCTGGTTTTTCGGCAACCGGTAGTATCCTGATATCGGCAACCAATGCTGTCCAGTCTCGTTGTCAACTCCGCCGCGCAGAATTGCGATCCATTGTCAATCACCAACACTTGAGGAACACCCTCTCGACTGAAACACTTTCGTAGTACCCGCATCACAAACGATGTAGTTGGTGTGCTGGTTAGAACCACCATCCTTTTGATAGAGCCGTTATAATTTCTGTATAGTATCTTTTGGTACATCGGCGCAACTCCTCTCGGGATATCGGGGCAGCAGTAGCAATGAAGTGACACCTCCTAGCCTCCGAGAATTTGGACCACCGCGAGAGAAAATCGGCCTGAAGAATTGCTTTGCCCGGACGGTGCACTATGTCGTAGTCGTAAGCAGCCAGTGCAATGCTCCATTGCTGAATCATCGCCGCCGTCGGTTTGGAGATCGACTTTTGTGGACTGAATAGATATTGCAACGCTTGATGATCGGTTACGACGGTGAAACGCAATCCAAACAGGTATTTGTGAAGGCGATGGACGGCCCAATATATAGCTAGTGCTTCTTTTTGCGTCTGCGAATATCCTCGTTCTGCTTTGTTGAGTAGACGGGAGATGCAGACGATCGGACATCCGTTCTGTTCGAGGAGGGCACCAGTGCCAACATCTGATGCGTCAGTGATCAAAGTTAGATGTTTTTGGAGAGAACGAGGCGAGTACTGGTCGGTGGGTTATCATCTGAATGATTTCACGCAGGGTTTGTTCACACTCAGTAGTCCATTGCCATTCCGCAGTCGACTGAGTAGCCAACAGCGGTTGGGCTTTTGTGGCGAAGTTCGGGATGAAACGCGAATAGTATTGGAGACATCCCATGATGGATCTAATTTGGTTTTGGTCTCTTGGTGACTCGAGTCCAGTCAATGGGCAAAAGCGGCTTGGATCAGGGCGATAGCCTACTGCACCTGCTATGAAACCCAAGAACTCCAGTTCTGGTGAGCTGAACATACATTTGGAGGCGCGATTTGACACGTTCTTTTAGGCAAACCGCTCCAGTAGTTTGAGAAGTCTATCGTCATGCTCGGCCGTCGTTGTGCCAAATACAATGACATCGTCCTGGGACGCTAACACGCCATCGAGTCCACGGATGACTTCGTCAGTTGCCGCCTGGAATATGCCGGAGGATGTGTGGATACCAAACGGTAGGAAGTTGTAGTGATACAGTCCCCATGGTGTGTTGATAGTGGCGAAATGCCGGCAGGTTGGTGAGAGTGGAATCTGGAGGTATGCTTCGGCCAAGTCAATCTTCGAGAAGTATGTGCTACCGTTTAATGCTTTCATGAAATATTCGGTTCCATGGTGGTAGCCGCACACTTTCGCAACCGCGGGTTGAGTGTTAAGCGGTAGTCGCCACGAATTCGCGGTGTTTTGCCGTCGTTCTTGATTGCNTCACGATTGTCGTTGCCGACGTACTGGATGTAACTTGTGTGATTTTGCCATCCCGCTTCATTTTCTCAAGGGCCTGCAGTACGCCATCACGTTGGCCGTAGGGAATTACACGTCGTTTCAGGAAAATGGGCTCACCATCAACTTCCAGTTTGGTCGGCTGTACGTTCATATCTCCCGCATTATTGGAACATTTCACGACCAGGTGCTATAGATTGGTGTGCATATTGGACATATAATTGGTTTAGAGCGGCACAAAATGGTTCAATTCACGAATGGCGGTTAGGCCAAGTATGGATGGACTGTTTTTAGCAATTAGGAAACGGATGGGAACAAGGCGATGTTCTTTGAAATGTACCATCAATGAAACCTCACCAAGCAATGGCAATTTCTGTCCGGTCACCCCAAGGATTCTCACGGATTTTGGATGGATTTTGGCTTGGGGGCAGATTGATCGAAGCACGAAAGAAATGCTAGATTCCATGCTTCCCGTATTAACAATGAATTTGTGAGTTTTACCAGACTGCAATGTCACATCTCGGTACAGAAATCGGGTGGCTGGGCCTTCAGAACGTAGAGAGAGCACAAGGTGTGTATCGTCTGAAGCATTTGGCTGTGTAAGATTGCAACGAATTTGTTTACATACTCTCAGCATGTGGTTAATTTTTCCGCAAGCATGACATTTGACATTACGAAAGCGGCAAATGGAGCGTAGGTGGTGAGCTCCACAAGAAAAACATGGATTGATTCGTTTTTCATTACCCGAGGAATCTTTATGCGGCTTTGATGCACATTTGGCCGTTGGAGGTCGATTCGGTGGAGCCTTCTGCCGTTGGAATAAAATGACTGCTTCACTGGAAGTAGCCTTCATCAAGTCATCATGCTGTTCACAAATTTTCCGGGCTTCGACAAAAGTTAAATCCTTCTTCTCCAGTAGCTTGCGTTGCAGGTTGAGATTGCTGATGCCCTCTACCAAACGGTCACACATCTGTTCTTCCAAATGATCGCCGTAGTTTCAGCGTGATACCTGTCTGTTTGGCTGCAGGATGAAATTACGGCAAGACATGTGGTCAACACGAATCATGGAACTGAATTTAGCACGTTCGTGGGCTTGGAATTCAGTAGGCAGCAGGTGGTTGAGCAGGAGCGAGTTCAAGGACTCGTATGTCAGTTTAGCGGGAACCTCGGAAAATGCCAGGTTTTTTAGCAACGAATACAGATCACGGCCGTCAACAGTGAGAAATAGGGCTGACTGATTCTGTGTACCAGCTTTGCGAATGCTGTACCACAACTCGAACCGTTCGACCCATTCCTCGATCTCGGATGGACTGGCTTGCAGGTTCAATAGTTCAGTACTTGAAAGCTCCATTGCGCGACGCCAATTTGTAATGATTGTAGTAGGAGTAGTAGTAATACGCACGGAATTCGGAACACCAACCACGCAATATGAATCACAGGACCCGAATCGATAATCACCTATCACGGACTGGACCGCAGAAGCAGTGTCCCACGAGAACGAGACGCGAGGAAAAGGTCAGAGGACAGGCAGTAAGTAGTTCATTCATTGAAAGAAATAAACGTGGTTAAATAATGTGTACAAAGGGAGATCATTGGATACCTGGGTTTCAACCAATTGGATTGCAGCACTGCTTGCATAATCTTGCTTCTGTCTGCATTGTCTAGGATTGGCTGGCACCATCCACCAATGACGTGTTTTCAGAAGCTATGAACGTGCTATTGAGGTCAACATCCAAACTTGATTGATCGCCAATGTCCTGGAACTGTAACGCGCCGCTCCAGGGTAGGCACCATCGTGTAGACCTGGACCACCACAGTTACCGTTTCCTCGACCCACATTTCCTCTGTAGGTGCTCCGTAATTTTAATCCTTTAGCTCTGTTACTTCTGAGTCTTGGAGCATTCGGAGAATTTTTTTAAATTTTCTGTGGTTTCGATGTTCATGATGGTGCCTTCAGAGTAAACCTGGCTAGTGGTACCATCGCTTTCTAATTTAAGGTCTAATTCCCCCTTACTTTCTCGACTTTTGGTATCTTTACCTCAAGTCATCTGACCTCCATTCTAACTCTCTTATTGGCACGCGCGTTCGTTGTCGTACGTGACTCTAAGTACGTCAGACTGTCTGGCGTGACGCGCATTGAGTCAGCGGTTTGTGTTGCAATCCTACATGCTCTGGATAAGAGTTGATCTCTCCATTAACTGGTGGGGAACATTATGATAATTGGCTGCGGCTGCACTGTTTGCAGCCCTCGCCAAAGGTCCACCTAATGGAATTTGACTACAGGCACTGTTGCAAGCAATCCGGCCATCCTGATTATGCCTCTCAAATGACGACCATCCCCTTCCTGTCTGATTTGATGACTGTTGACGACTGCTTCCAGACAGTAGTGAAGCAGTAACCGTCTACTGCTATCTAGCCCCCGGAGTTTGACACTCTGGACCTCTGCCTCCAGTTACTTGACTACTGTATACTTATTTTCGACCACTTTCCCGCCCAGATTATTTGGTACTCTAGATGTGTGGGCCTACTTAGTTTGCTTTTTACCTTTGCCCACGCTATTCCTGGCATCCTTGGCAGCAGCGTAAGNAAGTACCTTGGAGTCCCTTTCTGGGAGAATTCTTCTCGCATCTGGTGTATCCGTCGAAGGCCAGCCCAGGCGTTCCCGGAGGATTCTTGAGAACTCACCTGCGAGGGCAGTGCAATGCCGACAGATCCATTTGAGGGATCTGTGAACAGTATGCTACTGGAAATAGTTTTTGACCAGCCCAGAGAAAGCTTGATGATACCAGCTGCGGCAGCTAACACACAATGCCCTCAATCTCATCCTCAGCTAAGGAACTGGCCTCACATAGCCCTGTGCTCTCGTTACATGTCAGTTTGCTTATTATTTATAGTTTCTTATAGACAAGACAGGACAGTATCTGAATAGTCAATATCACTGAAATATGCCAATTTCTGAAAACTCTCAGGATCCGATAGGATACAAGTACGGTTAAATGTGAGAAATGGTCAAAATGAGTAAAGGTACACTAATGAAAAATCAATAGAAACCTAACATGACACTTAAGATAAACAAATACGCTGAAAATTTCTATACAAACCAAACTAACTCCTAGAGATTTAACCACGACAAAAATTTAAATCGTGCGGCGTCAAGGTCATTTCAGTCAATCCGTCAGGACTGATAGTGCTCAGGTCAGGTCAGGTCAAAGGACTTTAGGCTTCGACCAGTGGACTTCCAGGTTCCTGCTTTTGCGAGATGATGGTTCCAACTGTGCTACTATTGCCAGTTAGTTCCATAGTTGTGTTGAATGTTGTGCTTACAAGAGAAGTGATGAAGAGCAGGATCGCCCTCGGGGACTCAACAGTCTCAATCGTTTGACAGGTGCTGAACCTCAGCGGACTGCTGCGCCTGACATAAGAGCTTCCCGGAGTCTGTAAAGTGTTGTGGTATTCGTGCGTGAGGTGCATGGTGTAAAGGAGTGATATTGAAATAGACAAATATCTACATAAGAGGGATGTAGGGTATGACTGTGCGACTAATGCTAGTCATACTCGGGAAACGCCTCGTCCCAGCAGTTGTCTAGTCTCTGTTTCAATTGCAGAACATTATTTGCTGCTACCACTGTAGACGGAAGCTTGTTCCATTCGTTTACTACGCGGTGAGAGAAAAATTGCTGCCTGGCACTCCCGTTGGTTCATGGTCAGTACATGCCTTCTGAAGGTTGGGTTTTGATTGAGCGTAAACAAGGATCTATCTGCTATTGACAGTCCTTTGAGTGGTTCGAACGTCTCAATCAAGCCATCCCCTAGGTGATGGCGGTGCAATGAGAATAAGTCAAGGGCCGCCAGCCTTTCTTATATGACTTACCCTGCGGTTCACTGATCATCCGGGTTAACCTTCTTTGCACTACCTCGAGCAGTTGTTTGTTCGTTACTGCAGGAAGGGCCCACGCTTGTTCACAGTACTTCAGATGTGGCCGCACAAAACTTTGTACAGTGGCATGAGTACATCCGCCTCTCTCGATGTTACTGTTCGGCAAAGTTGGAATAAGACTGTATTGGCCTTCACTGCAGCAGCCGCACATTGTATCGAAGGTTTAAAGGATGCATGTATCTGCACACCCAGATCCCTGACCACTTCGGTGGATTCAGTAGTATCCGTCGACCCGTCACCTAAATGACGCAACTCCACTGTCTTTTTGTTCACCAGCAGTTGCCTGCATTTGCTGACGTTAAATGGTAGCTCCCACTTGTCCGCCTAGCCTTGAATTGCATTTATTGCCTCCTGTTACCCCCTCTCGATGATGGATCCCGTACTACTTTGATGTCATCCGCGAATAGGAACCAAGGGCCCTGGAAGACCTCAGTGACGTCGTTAACATACAACGCAAATAGTACGGGATCTAGGACTGAGCCTGAGGTGCCCCACTACAGGCTACTGCCGTTTCCGAGGTTTCCTGTTCCACTCTGACACGGAACGACCCAGCATGTAGGCACGCTTTAATCCACCTCAACACCTGTTGATTTATCCGCAGGGCTATCACTTTCTGCAGAAGGAACTTGTGGTTGACCGAGTCGAAGGCTTTCCTGAAATCAAGGTAGCATATTTCGACTCGGCCCCCTAAGTCGAACCTTTCTGTGACCTCGTCCAGAAATGACAATGGTTTGTGAGGCATGCTTTTTGTTAATAAATCCGTGTTGTTGAGGTGCTATGCTGTGTTTTTGTTCCAGAGATTTTATCAACTCTCTCCCTAAAAGGCACTCAAAGGTTTCCAGGACACCTGACAGCAGGCTAACTGGATGGTAGTTAAAAGTAGCTGCCCTTGATCCACCCTTGTGAATTGGCACCAATTCGTCTTTGGTTCCGTTGGACGGCAGCGTTGCTGGAGCAAAAGACTGATTGAAAAAATTCACCACTGCACCTGAACTGATGTCAGCAATGGGTCGCAAGATTGCTGGTTGTAGCCCATCCGGTCCCGCGGCTTTGTGTTGGTCTAGGTGTCCCAGTGTTAATTCCACCTCCTTCGCCTCTAAGACAAACAAAACCATGGACTGTTCAGGAAAACTTCACAATAGGGCAAGAAACGGCTTACCTGGGTTCTTTATTTGGACTTTCTCAAAGAAGTCCTTCAGTCTTCTCTTTGGCGATGGCTGCACTGAAGCCTTCTACACTTACTACATTTCCAACCATTACCTGAGAGTGGGCCTTAGATTGCACGTAATTGTAGTAGACTTTTGGGTGCTGTTCAGCATTGCGTGCAATCCTATTTTTATATTCTCTTTGGTACTGCATTTGTATCTTGAGAGCCCTTTCTTTCACCGCTAGATAGTGCAGGTGACATCGATGCCCTCCCACGCAACGGCGCCGGCTGATGTGCCTCAAAGGCTTATATTGAGATGCTCAATCGATGATGTCTAAATTGATCTCGCAACGATGGGTTGTCCAATGTCGTGTAGAGACAAATTAAAAATGTTTCTAACCGGTTACCCGGTGGTGGATAGTAGATTTTGCACTCTACCTATGGTCAGGTTACAGGTTCACAATCCTCACTTGAGTCGATGGATTCGAGCGCTGCTGATCAGACTCAACCGGGTCGAAAAAGTTGTGCATAGTTATTCCTAGATTTTCAGTACACAATTCATTTTCTCTGTGCCAAATGAAATCATATACATAATGAAAATGTGTTTACAAACAAAATGTTGGTCACCAGAAGAAAAGATCGGATTATAATAAGTGAACATGATGTTGATGTTCAAAACCGAAGCATTTGGCACACTAAGTAGGGCCGAAGTCGACATGCGTCTGCGAATCCAATCAATCGGGCTTATCGAACGATTCCCAGAGCAAGAGCGAATTGAGAAGGAAGTCGGGTACGAGCGTATGTAGTATAATGTGACCTGCAGCGGAAAGTGTACAGAGAGCCAAGCGCACGATACAACTCACCGGAAATTGTGCCAAAATCGAGGTCATACCAGTTCTCGAACCCGAGGACAATAAAACAAAATAGGGTCTTCACATGCATCACAGGAATGGCGTTGGAAAGGGAAAATAATGTTACTACACAGCCCCTCCCCCTCCCTAGAAGGTTGGTGAGGAGCAACAAACCTTGGAAAAGTCAAATGAACACGATGTGTGTGTAGGTGAACGCGAATGATTGTGTAGTATACAAGGGTCCAATGGTAAACCAGTCTGTTGCGGTCGCTGGGGGAAAGTGGTCAACACCGATAGGTGTGCATGTGTATACAGTTTAAAGGCTGGCAATCGCGGCAATCGCAAAACCGTGATTTGCAGGTTCAGGAAAGGCAAGACAAATTCAAAAACTTGCTACTGATGCCAGTTTGGGCCAG